GGATTGTGATAAGAGTTGTACGAGCCCCCAATAAAATGATTTTTAAAAGGAAGTCTGGGTCTAGCCAAGGAGCACTGCAGGGGAGCACATGAAATACCCCCCACCCCTTGGTTTTCATGAGCGCTTAAAAAGACAACATCTTATTGGGGCTCTTCCAGCTCCTGTCACGATCCGTCCATCCATGTGTCCAGCACATTGGTACCTAGGTTGCCATCATCCTTTCTACTTGAGTCTTTGGTATCAGCTCCTTATTTTTTTCTCCCACCCTCATGAACCCTTGGTAAATTATAAATGATCAGTTATCATGATTTTCACGTGTTGCATGTGAAAATGCTTGCATGTGTGCATTTTCACCTCTGTTGTTCATCATCCTGGGTGTGGGGGGTTATACGTCAATCATCGGGATCCGTTAGCGTTCTCCCCCTACTTTCTTGAGCTCTTAATCTCCACAATTATCCTGTTTGTTGCCAATCTCCATAGCACCCACCAGAGAGCTGACCCGCTGTGGACTTCCTGTGGACTTCTTCCGTGCCTGGGTTTCCACGCTGTGGACTTCCTGTGGACTTCTTCCGTGCCTCGGTTTCCTTATCTGCAAAACCCCCTCAGGAGGTCCTCATTCATCCATTTACCAAACTTTGAGGGGGTCCAGGAGGGCCTGCCTCCGGGAAGGGAGGATCCCAAGGAATGCAGAGAAGCAGGTCTGGTATCTCTCCTCAGGTGGTGGCCGTGATAAAGGCTGATCAGTTGTGCAGTGCTGGGGGAGGCCTTTGGGATAAGCACACCCTGGCACCCTGGCCAGCACATCCTGGAACGAGTGAGTGTGGAAAGGAGTGTGGGTGTTTGTGTGTGTCTGTGTGTGCATCAGTGTGCGTGTAGGTCCTGCATGTGCATACATATGTATATGCATGTGCACACATGGGTGAGAGTGTACATGTAGGCGTGTATATTGTATGCATGTATGAGTATATTCGGTGTATTGTGTGTGCACGTGCGTATAGTGTGCAAGTGTGTTGTGTGTGCATTTTTATGTGTATGCACATGAATTGTGCGTGTTAGTGTAGCAGCTCCCATTGTGTTGGGCGGATAACCCCAAGATCAGCAGTTCAAAACCACAGGCCACCTCCCAGGAGAAAGATGGAACTTTTTGCCCCTGTGGAGTGCGACAGTCTTGGAAACTCAGAGGGGCAGCTCTACCCGGTCCTACAGGGTCACAATCAGTCGGCATCCACTCATGACAGTGAGGTGAGTTGATATTGTGTGTACATGTGCCCACGTATGTGCGTGTGAGTATTGTGTGCACCGGTGTCGAGGTGTGTGTGCATAGTATGTACATTGTGTGTATACACGCGTGCCCATGCTTGCATGTGTGTATCGTGTGCGCTGTGTACTGCGGGTGCATGCTTCTGTGTGTGTGGATTTATGTATATGTGTGTGTGCTGTGTGTGTATTTTGCGTGCATGTGTGCATGTGTTTCCATGAGGCGCTAGCTGAAGTTACAGAGGGTTGGGCTCAGTGGTCGACCGTCTTCAAGGTCATGGCTTTCCAGAGTGAGGTGGAACGCTCGTAAAGGTCAGCAAGGTGACGAGGACAAAATCTCGTCCACGTCAGAGGAGAGGGGGGCAAGCGGGAGGAGTCGTGAGGCGGGAGCTGGAGGGAAGTCACCACGGAGAAGGAGGGGGAAG